TTTATAAGTGCATATTTTAAAAAAATGTTATATATAGTTTCTAGGAAACTCATATTTATTCTGAGGAAACTATCTCAAAGCTCCGCATTCTCAGAAACGTATAAAGGCCATTTTCTCAAAAACGGCTCCAAATTGTTTCTTCAAACATTTCGAACGCTTAGTGGTAATTATATTGTTTAATATGACGTAAAGTTATTTTCGGTGAATTTTTTTTCAAATATTACACAAATGCAAAGTTTTTGAAAGATCTTTCACGTTTTTGATATACACATTTCCAACAATTTGTTAACACCATAACCGCCGTTTTTTTAAAACGGTTCCAATTTTTATTTTTTTAAATGCCATTTAAGATGAGGTTTTGGTGTTTTTTAATAATATTAAATTAATATTTCCGCTCTTCAATTAAAAAACCGAAAAATTAAGAAATTCTCAAAAAATGTACTTTAGGCGGCGATAGAAGGCAGCTGGCAAATCCGAGTAGCTAGCAGAGACCAAAGGAAATAAAAAACTAATAAGTAAAAGTCTGTGTCATTCTGTAGCACCACTAGTTTGTATATTATTTCATTTGTGGATAGACGTGCATGAAATTATTTTTAATGAAATTTTGCGAAAACTCAAATATTTTCTATGAAAATTTGATCAAAATTTTGCATTTTCAGAGAATCTGAAACAACATTTTATCTAAAACGGCTCCAAATTTAATTGACAAACATTTTTGAACATTATTAGGTTAAATTCCTATAATATTCTTATTTATTTACGTCAAAAAGAGTGTAAAAACTGTGTGTGACGTGCTATGGGGAGAAGCTAATTTGAAGTTACATTTACGTCCAGAAGCAAAACAAGGGTCCATCTCAGCATTTTCGATGACCAGGGAAACTGGACGAAAACCTGATCGAGATGGGGCTCTTAGACCCAGAAACTGAACTACAATACTTGTTACTGGTTCTTTACAATTATACAGTCTAAATGGTATAAAATACATTAAACGTCATTGTTAAAATTAATTACTTTCCTTTTGGATGCTCGGTATAGTCTCTAACTGTATAGAATCAGTTGTGCAGCAGAAATTATTTTGCTTGGGACTTAAACTTTTCCATAATAATATTACATTATAATTGTTTTACAAAAATTAAGAGCTTTGCTGTAATATTTCACGAGATATGTTTTGATTTCTTTCTCAGCGGTATTTCATTAAACAATTATTGTTAGGTTGCTGTTAATAAATCGATAAATCAGTCATAACCTGCCCCAACATCTTCAGTATTGAAGTTTGGTTTCCTAAGCATACCGAACTGATTCGCCTAAAGAGATGTTTTGTCTCCTGCTCATGTTCCTGCCCACCCCACCCCACCCCAAACACCCTGTGCAGCGCGAAAAGATTCTGGCAGGTACCCGGCTCACCTAAACTCTTGAATGGGAAGAACACAGAAGCAGGAGAGCTGCTACAGCTTATGACCCGGTTGTCGTCTCCTCCTCTGTTCTCTCGACATGCCAGACACGGCTGTCTTGAAAGGCCAAAGATACGCGATTGCCAAATTGCCGAAACAAGAGCAAGAGCTCTCAGGCAATGGTTGCGAGTTATAGGCAACGGTTAGCGTATCGGACTGTTGTACCCAAGTTGGCGAGTTCAAACCCGATCGAAGCTGTGGATTTTGAAGGGCGAAAAAATTCCTTTGTACGCCTTCCTTCGGGAAAGTAAAGCTGGCTGTCCCATGTTAGTAGATTTACTTGCATGTAAAAGATCCTCAAGCCTAAATGACGAGCTAAATTCAAATCGCTTGTTTCTCGTCTAAGAAATACCTCCTTTCTCTGCTAGTTGATGAAAGGAACGTAGCGAAATTTGCGTGTCAGACGGAAGGGCGGGCCCAAGTCTCGCCACGTAAATTAAGGCAAATTCAAGTCAATTCAATTCATACTGTACTCGGGCCCGCAAGGAAGACACCGTCTGAGTCTACGAGTCAGTCAGCAAGGAGAGCAGCCCAAGTGCTGCACGAGTGGCCAAGTCGAGGCAGAGGCAGAGGCAGTGAGCGTGTGGTTTGGCGCGGTTGGGAGAGCCATAGCCACCCGCAGGATACAGCGTCGTTAGCGGACGACGGGACGCTAAGGAGCCTGGACCCGTCCGGAGGACGAGCTCGAACAGCGACCCGGGGCGTAAGTGAGCGGGGGGTTCTCACCTAACGTGGAATTGAATTGAGTTAATGCCTTATTTTACGTGGCGAGACTCAGGCCATAGAACCTGCTCTTCCGTCTGGCCACGAAAATTTCCCTACGCCCCTTTCACCAACTAGCAGAGAAAGGAGGTTTTTCTTGGGCGAGTAACAGGCGATTTCAATTTAGCTCAGAGTCATCATCTATGGATCTTTTACATGCAAGTAAATCTACTAATATGAGACAGCCGGCTTTACTTCCCCTCCGAAGGCAGGCGTACGAAGGATTTTTTCGCCCTTAAAAATCCACGGCTTTGACGGGTTTGCACCCGCCAACTTGGGTATACCAGTCCGATACGCTAACCGTTACACCATCGCCGCGCGCACAACGTAGACACCGGGATCCGCGCTCTGCAGCAGCGAGGCGAGCCGGACGCCCGCCTCAGAGACGGCCCCACCCGGAAACCAAGGCCCGTAGCAGGTGAAGCTGTGGGCAAGCCCCCCACACAGCTCCTCAAATCAGAGCGGCAAGTCAGAAGATACAAGAAAGCGTCAGATGCCCGCGTAACAATGGAGTGTAGTGGTTGCAAATTGGTATTTTGGTTGTACAAAAGTTGAATAGATCTTCTTCCATTTCACTTGGCTTTTATTTGATGGACATTACAGCCTCTAGGGAAGAAATATTGAAGATCTTTCAGGACATTTTAGCCACGGATAGACCCATGTTAAAACCATCAACCACTGCATCTAACTCAAATCATCCAAACTTTGACTCGCTCCACTTTCACTCTCAACGGCTCATATTAGTACATCTCCAATTTACTACTACCACATACATTCACATTTTTATGAAATATTTTTCTCCTTTTCACACATGCAAGTAAACTTTAAAAGACATACACCATTATTACAATTTTAGCATTGGTTATTCTCATTATTTTCACCGTTACATTTTATCAACGGCAGAAAAGTTTAAGTTTATTTCCCCATATGTAACGAAGTTTAATCAGAGATTATACGTGCGTAGTGTCATACTTAAATTATCCCTTTTTTTTGGAGATTCGCCGAGCTCGGCCCCAGCAATGACAGGTGTAGCAGAAAGACGCAGCTCGTCACCGACCTCATCGTCAGCATCGGGCGACGACACGTTCCTTTACACCGAAAACACTCATACGTTCTCCTTTCCGCATATTTGTTGCAGTTTGAAATTGGTACTACTTTTAAACTGTTAGAACAAGGCTGTTGAAAATTGCAAGTTTCAAAGTTGTTTCTTCCATAGATGCGAATTTTTGAAGTGAAAAATTGTTTTTCTATGGTAGTAAGAAAGCTCGATTTTCCTCCCATTTTGCAGTGTCTTTCTAATAATCTTATCACGCTTCAGAGGAAAACCGATTTTATTAACAAGCCAATTTTACTGTCAGAGATTCTGAAAAATTCATCAAATCAAGCAAGACTTTCAAACATATTCAAATGCTTCAACATCGTCTCCTTTGGTCAGGTTTATATGAAGTAAGGTAATTCCAATAAAACGGAAACTATTTTATTTTAAAATGTAGCAACATTTATTTTCTGACAACACATAATAACAAATCTGTACTTTATTTACAGACTCCTTTCCAAATCCTAATAATGAATATGTTGACGTTTTACACGTAAATATAATTTGTGAACTTCCATTTTTGATTGTTTTGTGTTTTCCACTTTCATAAAAGTAATTTTGTACGGACTTAAATTTAAAAAAAAATCACTTTTATCCACATGAATGAAATGTCACCAAGAAGCTTTTAAACAGTATAAAGTACGTCGAAATACTCAATTTTCTTAATATCGATGGACTGAAACACGTATATTTAATAACATATATGGAAATTTCTTTTAACATGCAAAGTCAAGAACGAAGGCAAAAAAAGAATAATTTTAGATCTCTATTTTTTACACAGAAACTATCGCTATCGTATTAGCTTATCCTGCCAACCATTCCCAAAAGAGAAAAGTCACTGCCATTATAACTTCTCACTGTGACTTCGCCGAATTTTGGACATTGACATCATTTACCGGAAGATCGTCGTATGTGGTACATGTACAAAAAGCAGGAGGTATCCCAGCATCGCCACAAGATCTGTCACCAAAATCCTCCGAAAACAAACTCTTGCACTTAGGACATGCAAGAGATACGTTTCCATTGGGAGTGGTTCTGTTCATCCCTCTCGCTAACACGTCTTTTAAAGTAACATAAAGGTCAAAGGGCGACGTTAATCGATTTCTATTGGTTTGTAGATTTTGGTAAGCTTCGGGATATTTCTTTTTAAACGAATCTGGAAGCCTAATATAAAAAAATGGCAAACTTTCTTCCCACCAACCCATATATGTTTTGGACATCGGTCCAAAACGCATTCCATGGTCACTAAAAAAGAGAACTATAGTGTTGTTGTATGTACCAGTACCACCTAACTTATGGAAAAATTCAACCGTTTTCACGTCCATGACTCGTGGAGTATTCAAATCATCATGGCTAAAATTATTTTCCCAGATAATAGCAAAATAAAATGCATTTTTGAAAGTTTCTACAAAACGTAAAGCATACGTTAAAAGATGACCTGTGGTTGACATTGGTCCCAGGCACACTGGTCTTCCATTTCGTACTTTAAACGTAAGTTTTTTTTCTGCAGCAAGCATGTAAGGGCGTAAATAATAATCTGTTGGTTGTGTCACAAAACCTGTCATACGAACATTAAATGTCTGCAATTTCGGTAGATCTTCAGCGTAAACTGTCACATAATTGTGGTTATGAAATTCATTCCAAAGAAAAGGGCAATTGTCAAATTTGGTCTTACGAGAAGGCCAACACACCTTCTTCAACTGGTTTAAATACATACCAGTTAAAAATGCCATAACGTTTGGAAATGTGGATTTTTCTACTATGTTGAAACCTTTCAAATCTACATAACCAGCACGCTTAAGGAAAGCAACTGTTTCAGGCATTGTTCTTAAGAGATTCAGACGAGATATGGAATCATACAGCACCATGAGTACATTAAACCTGGCATCATCGTTGGGCGACTTCCTTTCTCTTATCTTTTCCGCAACACTAGGTTTAATAGGAACTATTCCATGCATATGTACATATACTTCCTTCTTTATCTCTGAGTGGCCATTTTTGTGTCTATTACACCGGACTAGAATAAATTCTTCTTGAGGTCTCAGTTTTACTTCCTTTCTAAACTCCTTGCATGAGCTGATACTGAAAAATAAAAAAGAAGTTAAATTAAGATTATTTCTTTTTTCGGATGTAGCAAATGCAGTGTATAACTTCACAAATATATGTTTCAATATAATACTATTTAATGTTTATACTTATTTAGTAAGTATACTTATAGTATTTTTGTTTTAAACAAAAAGGAAAATCTGTGTTGGGAATGACAAACATAAAATTGTGGATAGAATGTTGAATTTTTAGTAGAAAATATCCAGAAAAAAACAATTCAATTTCTTATTAGACATAAAAATTAAATATTTACATTGTTATGATAAATATGCCAATCAAAGAGGACTAACATCTTAACCCTGGGTACCACGTGCTAGAGGCAGTTTGTTTTCTCCGACAACATGAAGGTTAATGTGATAGTTTTGAACATTTTTGTGCTGACGACAAGCGGGCCAAAGTGGAACGTTGCTCTTCCACAGTACCCAGAAAATTTTGACTGTATCTGTACATTATAACATCTATAATTTTTCATTTTAGGAGCAGGCATATTTAGTTACCCATCAGTACCTTATTACTCACATATTGTTAAGAATTAGCTTCGAAATCACCCAGGCAAATGGTGACTCTCCACAAAGTCGGTTCTCTCTTTGGAGAAGCATGATTAAGAGCAGTCACAACACAATGCTTTCTCTGTATTTAAAAACACAGTGATAAGCCCTCAAATATATTTTGATAATGCTTTCGCTCCAGTAGAAACAACAAATAGTAAACTATTTGCAGAATCAACAGCACTTTGTCTGCAGAATCTTCAAAACCTACACTGGAAGCTACGCCCTCATTGGTTGAGGCAGAATCTCTTATCTCTGATAGTTTCTCCTGCGTAAACTTTTCCTTTGCTAAAATCAGGACCAAATTCAAGCAAGTTCGCCCGCAGAAGTGGAAATACAGTCATCACAACAAAATCACGTTATTTGAGTGATCTTAACGGTTCTTCCAGGGGACCCACTTTAAAAAGCATAAAACGATCAAAAAGAACCTATGTCAAAAAAGATAAAATAAATCTTCATTACATCAGTTTATGATATTTTTCAATTCTGGTTTACATTATTTACCAATATTTGTTTAAGCAGTAAACATGACTATCTAACTAGCTTTGTTACACTATGCTCCAGGGATAAGGGAAAGTGGAAAAAATGCTGCCTCCCAGAAAATGTTAAAAAATAAGAACCATTTTTACTGAAAGTAGCATAGACTTTCTATATGTAATAGCAGAAGACATCTAATTTTCGAAATGTGTATCAATATTTTTTAAAAGAAAATGCACACTGTATTGTTGCTACAAACGTAACGGTTTCTCTCTCCCCGACTTTCCCCTACATGTTATGTCTAAACTAATATTTATTCTATAGAAATAGATCTAAATATAATTCAATAAAGTTTTTCATCTCATTAATAGTTGATGGGTTCACGGATACTGAAATGTACCACGACGTTATCTCCATTATTTTTACATTTCAAGAGTGGCCAACCCCCATTACTTTTATGGCTGATTGTGGTCACCCTACTTGTAGTAATTGTCGGCATCGTCCGTGTAAGGGACTCCGGGCGGCGTGGTGAAACGGGTGACGTTGCTGTAGCAGCACTTGAGCGAGTAGCCGGGACGCAAGTACTGCAGCTGGACCGCCTCGTGCACGCGCAACACGTGACCGCGGGCCAGCGAAATCACGGAGGTCAGCGGTAACCGGTCAGTGCACACGATGGGCTTCACCGGCCGCAGGAAGGGGAGGATGGACTTGTCGTACGGGTCCACGTCGGAGATCTGGCAGCTGGGGCTCCACACCAGGTAGCCGCTTTTCTCTGCGAACACGCCAAGCGAAACACATAAGGAATGCCAAAAAGTGCGCGCACAACCTCTTTGCCCGTCAGGGCAGCCCAACTTTATTTTCTAGTATTATCAAATAATTTTCGTAGCTTTCTTGATTAGCGTTTTGACGTTAATTAAATGTAGCTAATTCAGCGTTAATAGGAGCAAAGCCATTCCCTCTGGACATCTCCATTTCCATTTTCAGATTATTTGGTTTGGGTAATTCGTAGGATTCGTACACGGTTAGGAATTAATACCATTAGGTTAGACGAAGAAATGGATTATAAAGATGCTCTGAATTTATCCTAGGGGAATCTGAATTGAATTCTCCTTTGGGTGTATGATTTTCCAAGTTTGAAATTACTTGCGTCTGGAGAAGACGATAAGGTTCGAAAAATGTATTGGCAAGTTTGGAAATGCATTGGGCTGTTATAGATAGATGAAATTCTTTCTGCAATTGATTATTATAAACAAACTAAAGTGCTTTTTCTGCAGTACGAAACATTTTCTTTAGATAAGATTGAAGTGGTTTTACTGCTGCGAGGGCATCACCTCTCCGAATGGAGCAACCATAGTTTAGAAGTGAGCGAAGGACAAATGTATACGAAAGCAGAGTAAGATCGGCCTTCAGGGCGGATTGTCTCCTAATTAGGGGATACAAATTAAACAGGGCGGCATGTGCTTTATTTGTTTTGTTTATAATACTCGATTACCAAGAGAACCGCGTAACAAGGACAATCTCCGATGTATTTTGTGAGTTTATTTGTTGACGTCCAGAGAATAAATGGTTTTTTATAGAAATGTTTTGTGAATTTTCGATTCACCGCAAAGATGAAAATCTTTGCCTCGCTTTTTCAGGGGTAAAGATTTAAGCTTCCAGATGCACGACCAGTTGTAACAGGAGTTCCCAACGTTCCTGCAGTCACGGGTCCTGCAGGTACGCCCGACCGACTGCTGAAGTCGAACTTTAAAATCTCAGGTGGCAGGGTCTATTGGAGTGTGAGAAACATGTACCCTAAGACACACAATCAGGAAAAACCGTGCGTATATTCTCCAGAGAATATGACCACAAATAACAAGCACTGACGAAATACAAAATCCAAATATCAAATAACACAGAATCAGATTACCCCTTTGAATTCTATGAAAAATTTACCTGATTTGTCAACTTTGACTCGAATATTTCTTCCTAATCAAATACCTTTACAAATGCTCGTTCACGGTAACTAATACTTGGCCAGCACCGTTTAAAACTAACAAAACGTAAAACCCTTTGATTTTATTAATACAACACAAACCTTACTTTTACACAATTCTTTGTTTCTAATAATCGCAACAAATTATCAAATTACTTACTCAACTACAACTATGTACAGTTAATTTCGTTAACAAGATTACACAGAAATGAAATACAAATATTTTACATTGCTATTTACAATACTTTTTCCCATAAACATCACATGAATGAACTGCATTACACTTTACAAGGTTCTCTTTCCGTTATTTTACCGTGATCTAGTTCGTAAGACAATCAACGTGATTATGCAAATTTAGAACTGTTGTCTTTCTGCTGCTAGCATTTGTGTCTCTTCCAGCTGTCAACTCCCGTTCCAAAATTTACTAACTGCGGTAGCGCGCAGTCCGCGGCTCGCAATCCTAGCTTCTTCGCCGCCGCGTCTGACCTTTGTCCCAGATTCGCCCACCGTCGCTCCACTCTTCCGTCCAGATGTCGTCGACGTTGCACCAACACTGTCGTCCAGGTCTTCCTTCCCTCGGAATCGGCGTTTTCGCTCCAATTGCACGTAGTGTGATATTCAATCCTTTCGAGTGTTACTGGCGGCGTAATTTCGCCGTACTTCAACACCTTAGACTTGTGTCGCCCAACGAAAAGTCTTATGACGCCACATGATGGTCTTGCTCCTCTTTCTCTTGACTACTATTATTTGAAGCCCCAAAACTCCAACAACTGTATCCAGTTCAAATAACTGCTGCACCACTGCCAAATTCTAAGTAACTTTCTAAATCTCTTCCACTTCGCTAAGTTCAAATAAACTTCTGAACACTTGTCGAATATCACAACTTCCTAACTTTGTTACAGCGCATGCTCTCTCTAGGCGCTAACGGTCTTGCTCACCGCTCTCGTCTTCTCACCTCGGCGTCTTGAACAGAAAATAAGGCTTGGTGGTCAGCTGCTCCGCTATTTTAAGGGATGGCGTGACGTCACGGTGAACCCTTCCGCGTTTTCCACAAATTGGAAATCCACCGCCGTTGCGCCGCGGGCCGCAAATTACAGATCGCTTTGTTTCCGTGGTAAATTATTCTGCGCGCCTGTGCCACAGTGATGCATTGTGGGTATTGTGGGGTTTCTGAGCTTGCCTCAAACGACACAATAAATATATACTAGAATTTATATATTGCTCCAAAATTCGACTCCCTGACGGACTGGAGAACCTGAAGTAGAACTACAGGTTCTACTCAAGTTCTACCTGGGAATTTAAAAAAAGGAAATCACATGTTTCAGATAAATTTCATTCTTTGTAATTACTATACATCGGATGTTTAGAAAATTGCCTGTTTTATTCTAATGAACATTTTAAAGGCTGTTGCTATACATGCCATGATAATGAAAAATTAATAACTCTGGCAAGTATTCATCTTATCATCATCTCCCTCATTTTATTTGGTGTATAACGTATGTATATGATAATGTATAATGTATTGATTGGAGTTGAAAAGATTTATTTGCTGTTGTTGCCGTGGTCTTCTGAGAATCCAGCGATTTCCATTTAAGACGCCACGAGCTCGCATTGTTATCAGAGGCGAAGTGCAGAAAGCTTAATAAAAACGTTTTGAACGTCTTGCAGTTGTAACATGAAGTAAAAACGACGAAATAAAGAAAGGTTTAGTTTCGTTTGGACAGAGGAAACTATGACAATTTCATCAAAACTCTTTTTTCAATTTCTTTAATTATTTCAACAATTTCTTTAATTATTTCTCCAAGTATATTGTCAATTGTGGGTCGTCTCTTTTCCAGAACACTCTTGTCTGACAAAAAGCTAGTGATAGAAGAGGAGAGTATTTCGCTGCCTCAATGATTATTTAACAAAAATGTTCGTTGACCCCCTCCAAACGATGGCTGGAGCCGCCCGTGCCAAGAGCCAAGCGTCGCCCGACTCTCCCGCAAATAACAGAGTCGAAAGGCGGCCGGTCGAAATGTCCGTGAAATATCGATCTCCTTCCCTTCGAGCAGTCTCCCCTTCCGGCGAGCGTCAGCGCAGAGCCTCGCGAGACTCCTGCGGTTGTTTTCGCACGAATACACAGCTCTAGTCACTACCCCTGACTCCGCTCTTTCCCCTTCCCAGTCCAGAAGGGAGTGCACATACGCGAGCTCAAGCGGGCAAAGTCCTTGTTGCACATTGACCGCCAAATTGTTTCAAATTTGGCGCCTCGCTTCGAATAATGCAGTTTTGATGCTTCTTGAAAGCATTTCAGAGGAAAAGATACATTTCAAATTTCGCGCGTTCAAGGGCCGCGCAAATTTCTTCCCAGGTGACACTTCTTTCGTACAAACTTCCTTGACGTATATTGTCAACTGCTTCCTGATAGTTCGGAGCGTCACCAAAAGATCGTATCAGCTCCTGGGCAGCTCCTCGTGCAAAAACACGTGTGGGCACGTCCAAATTTGTCGGTTTTGTCGAAATTCTTGAAATAGAATCATTTCCATTTTAGACGCCACGAGCTCAAATTTTCATCACAGGCGGTGTGCATAAAGCTAAGTAAAAATGGGTTGGACGCATTCAAGGTTCGATTCAGGGTGTGCCAGGCACCCTTTCTGCAGTCTAACGTGACGAAAAACGATGAAATTACATTTATTATTTTATCCTATGTATCATACTATCAACATATAATTATATTTGTAATAATTTCATATATTATTATTGGTTCTATTGGTGGTTTACATCCAGCATCAATACGAAAAATTATAACTTATTCACCCATCAACCACATTGGTTGAATATTATGAAAAAAGGAGCAATTTTGGTTGAAGTTAAAAAAATTATAAAAAAACATTTTCTCAAACGCAGTTTCTGAAAATATTTTCTTTACTTTTTCCACGCTTAGAGCAAAGGACGCATAAATATGGCGCAGGTCTAATTTTCGTTGCCATCTGTGAATTGCACAAAATTGCACGAGTTACAATAGCGAGAGAGACATTTCTGTTTTAAGCGTCGGGAAAAGCGGGCATACTCGAGCGAATGCATGGGGTAACGTGATTGGTCTGTTGACACAGCATATCTTTCTTCAAATCTCAGCACGGAGAAAGAATATTTGCTGGTTGGAAACACGTTTGCAGGTACACGTATTAGAATAATATTGCGTCGCCATTACAAAGAACGCGACAAAATATTTTCTGTTGTAGCACCACTAGTTTACTTTCTCGCTCTTCTACATACTTACGTAGTAGTGTAATGCTGCGTCGGAAATCGGCGATTTTTCGACGGAAAACCACGTATTGTTGGTCTCTGGTAAGAAAACTTAAAGAGTACCCCCAGAATTAAAACAAGTGGTGCTGCAGAATGCCGCACTCTTTCTTGCATTAGATACACGAACACACACACAAAAATACCATGAAATTGTATTTTTTGTTTTTGGGGGTTGCTGTCAGACCCGAATACTTGACACATGATTCTGTATGTCTACGCTCTATGTATGCGCTAAATCCTGAAATTTGAAACCAGAATTGCGCCACACCCCTCCAATTTTGTTTTAATTCAAGAAAACACCGTGAAAATGGAAATTTCTGTTTTTTTTTCGCAAGGGGCGCAGTTCTGATATTATCTGACGGCAACCGAATCGTTCGAGTCCTCCTGCAGCGTCGGTGCTCTGTGGTTACGCATAGAAACCGGGAGGCTGTGTTTTCCCCAGCAGCATATCCAAGTTCTCTATGATTCCATGACATGCTCTATCTCTGTTGGCAGCGTCTGGCGGATTCATACCGTACTAAATTCGCAAGGTCAAATGCATACAAGGTCAAATACAGTTCTCTGATTCTAATCATTTGTATATTGTGATATTCCTAATCTGTGGAATAAATTTCATTGGAATAGTACGTCTCCTTAGTATTTCAATGTTCACGAACACCAGTGTACATTTAACTCATAACATATTTACCAAGTGTCAGCTCAAAGCTTCTAATCTGCCAAAGATAGTGTGACTTACACATACAGGATTATGTGACTTACATTACAAGAGACCTTAATCCTGAGGGGAAGCGCATGAGGAGAGAGGAAGTGCGAAGGCAACGGCGCAACCGCAACTGCGGGCGCG